TGAAAGAAAGACATCAGGATGGAAAGGTCGGAGATGATTTTGAGATGGAGGTGGACATGATTTTGAAAGTGAATTTGCGCCGTGGCTTTTTTTGGAAAGTGGCTTACGCAAAAACCAAATGTATTTATAGATAGTTTTTACAGATTTACATAGTTCAACATTGAAGAGAAAGAAAACATAAACAGAAGGAATAATAGAGTGGTATTCTAATTGCACTAATTTTCCCGGGAAACAAAGTATGCATCTACTACACTGCATAGTTTTCTAGAAAGAGGTCAAGTTGAATCTATTGGAAGTTAAAAATCATTTTGTTTGAGAAAGTAATACTAAGAAATGTATACAGTGCAAATCCTCAAAGACCGAAACAATTTGCTATTTTCAAGTAAATAGTTAGTAATTTCTCCAATGACATGACGCCAATAACCATACTTTCTGGACTGTATATAATAATAATAATAAAATAATAATAATAATAAAATATTGATAAAATAAAATAATGATAAAATAAACACTGCTCTGACAACTCCACATTACAAATACATACATTAGCTGTAGTGCTATATAGGCCGCAGGGTTCAAAGAAATAGAAAGATGTACCGGCTTAGAGTCCGGAAATTACAGAACAAAATTAGCCTTTTGCATGTTCTGATTTTGTCACATCTTAAAGTCATAGATAGTTCTCTTGATGGGATTCAAGGTTCCACTGTGGGGCGGCTGGCTTTTAGACAAGACACAACACCTACGCAGCAGAATGACTCTGGAGCGAATGATTGGTAGTGGTCACAGTTGGGCCAATGGTTTACATTAGTTGCCAGTTACCCCATGGCAGCTCATACGACTACAGTGCCTATGTCATTAAGTGCCCAATAAAACACTGTATAAAACCAGTGCATTATTATTAAATTCTGTTAATAATGAAACAGAATATAATGTCCGACTTCTTATCTGTTTTACAATCCTGGACATCTCTTTTTACATTATACACATTTATCCATATATTTTCCATAACATCAGATCAGCAAAGTAAAATTAGTGGGGGGCGATAGCTCCGTGAGTGCGGGGAGGGCGAGCAGGAAGAGCGAGGCCAGCGCTCACATTGGAAAATTTCACAAAGTGAGTTAGTGCAGATATAAGTGAAATTTACGGCCAATCAGAATTCTAGTTTATGCTAAATGGAAACATTATTAGATATCTGGAGTTTAGATACCGATTTTCATTTAGCACATCAATAATTTCAATCTCAAAAGACAAAGGATGCATAAGATTATTGAGTTCCTTTTGCATGAAATTGAAAATGATTTGTTGTATTTGAAAACATTAAGTGTTGGATCTGATGTAACGATTAGACCAGGCAGATATATTCCCTCCCTGACGTATGTAAGAGAGAATTTAACACAGACAATACAAGTGAATAGAGTGAGAGTAATCCCCTCAGGTCTGGACCAGTGGTGGGCAAATCCCGGCCTGTTGGACCCTTTGGATGTTTCTGAGCTAAGTTTATATAGATATAGTGTAAAGACGATAAAACCCTCTGTGCTGCTTGGAGAGCTCTGGAGCCGCATCTTTACTCATAAATAATACATTTATGTGTAAAAAAAAAAATAAGCCAAAGAAAAACATTGGAAATTAGATCTGGCCCTCGACAGCAGGCTGATATTCCAATGTGGCTCTCAGGAGGAAAAGTTTGCCCATATGCCTGGTCTAAACCCTGGTGGTGGTGTTCTCCTGACTCTAGACCCTGGTGGTGGTGTTCTCCTGAAGTCTAGACTCTGGTGGTGGTGCTCTCCTGAAGTCTAGACCCTGGTGGTGGTGGTGCTCTCCTGAAGCCTAGACTCTGGTGGTGGTGGTGGTGCTCTCCTGAAGTCTAGACCCTGGTGGTGGTGCTTTCCTGAAGTCTAGACCCTGGTGGTGGTGTTCTCCTGAAGTCTAGACTCTGGTGGTGGTGGTGGTGCTCTCCTGAAGTCTAGACCCTGGTGGTGGTGCTCTCCTGAAGTCTAGACCCTGGTGGTGGTGTTCTCCTGAAGTCTAGACTTTGGTGGTGGTGTTCTCCTGAAGTCTAGACCCTGGTGGTGGTGCTCTCCTGAAGTCTAGACCCTGGTGGTGGTGCTCTCCTGAAGTCTAGACCCTGGTGGTGGTGTTCTCCTGAAGTCTAGACTCCTGGTGGTGGTGGTGCTCTCCTGAAGTCTAGACCCTGGTGGTGGTGGCTCTCCTGAAGTCTAGACCCTGGTGGTGGTGCTCTCCTGAAGTCTAGACCCTGGTGGTGGTGTTCTCCTGAAGTCTAGACCCTGGTGGTGGTGGGTTCTCCTGAAGTCTAGACCCTGGTGGTGGTGCTCTCCTGAAGTCTAGACCCTGGTGGTGGTGTTCTCCTGAAGTCTAGACCCTGGTGGTGGTGGAAGCTGAGCCCATGACATGTGATTCTTCCAATGATGAGAGGGTGAGGCTATGAACCAATGATTCTAAGGCATTTTCTGGTTGCAGTCTCTATGGTTCTAATAACTGTATTCTTTAATATCCTGGCAGTGTGGGCATGTACAGGTGGAACAGCTTCATAAACTATTTTAAAGATTCAGTAGTTGCTATTGCACAATGTTTCGAACCTGAAAACATCACGGAAAAAACCTAGACCTATCACCATCATCCCTATAATTGTCTAGATCAAACAAAATACAAAATCAGTCAAAAAAGTATATTTCCAAAAGACGTGAAGTCAGCACAGTGAAGACCACAGAATTAGCAATGAAAGACCCTTTAGCATCCATCCAACTGTAATCCAATGGCAAAGAAACTCGTATCAAACCAAATAGTTTCACACTGAATCTGGCCTTGCATTTAAACAACAGAATTCCACTGAGACTGCTAACTGTGTTTATTGTTTTCATTTTTTTTAAACCTAACATCCTTGTTAGATAGGCGAGGAGAAGTGTTTTTTTTTTCTCAATCTCATAAAAGCTTTTGACACTGTGAACCAGCTCAACAATGGTTAACTTTAACTTTACAATGGATCTCTTCATACCTAGTTTTCAGTGGTCAGAATTTCCACTCCATTTGTCCACTGGAGTCCCACAAGGATCTATACTGGGACCGTTGCTCTTTTCCTTATACATAAACGACCTTCCAGCAGTCTGTCCTAACATCCACACCCAAACTTCTTACACAATCAATGCTACATCTCAATGTTTTTGAGTCAGGTTAGAGGCTTCCAGGTTTTCAATGAATACACATATCTTTGAGTCCAGATGAACAATACATTCACATTTAAATCACATTTCATTCCAACCAAGCAGGCGCACACTAGACTCCACCCATTTCTTCAAGTGAGCACAGTCTTAAACTGAAGACTTGAGGAAATGGATGGGATCTAGTGTGCTCCTGCTTGGTTGGGAATGAAATCCTGCAGCCACACTGGCCCTTTCTGCAACTAGTTTGTCACCTCTGTCTTAATCCGTCTTCTTTTAGGGTGACAATGTAACATCTGTCCAGGGACTACGGATGAAAATTAGCCTTGAGGCTGAATCTGGACCAGAAATGTCCTCTGCCCCTGTCAAATAGATACATAAAAACAGTGACCTGGATAAAAACTCCCCCACAACACAAAAGGGTTTGACACATTTCATTGTTTTTCAGTATTTATGATTTACCCCAAAAAATCACTCCTGTGCTTACATCAGAGACATTATATTCCACATGTTCCTTCCCTGCTTTGGGTTAATCCTCAATCAACAATATTAGCAATATGGGTCTTTGTGCCTTTTGAAGACCATAATATCTTTCCCTTGCATCACCGATCACATGGACAGACATTTTTAATACTTGTATATTAAATGGAAAGTGTATTCGGGTCGTATTTTAGACTTGCTTTAGACCCGATTCAGACCAATAAAAGTCAAAGTTATCTGGTAAGCTACTTGGATGTTTAAAATTTAAATATAAATGTGCACATTATTGTCCCCGTAGGGTAATTTTTCCTCTGCATTTGACCCATCCTGATGCCACTAAGGTGTCTATCAGGAGCAGCGGTTGCCGTGGTACAGAGCCCGGTAGTATGCAGCACCAATACTTAAACGAGAGAGGTATTGGTGGTGCATTACGTGGGTGCGGTACTTGTTCTTTGCATGGATGTTTGTTCACTTTTTCACACACAAAAGTGAACCAGTGAGCTAAAAGCACGACGGAGACATGACGATGGGGCGGGTGGACCATGGACGTGCAGATAAATACAGTGCGTGACCACAGTGGACATGGGACGATGGGAAAATGCCACAGTTTGACCAGAGCAAATGACTTTTGATCAGTGGACATGCTTGTGATGCTCCACAGATGTGCAGAGGGTGGAGGAAAACAATCAGGGACATGAATGCTTTTTCCCATGTTTGTCATTTACTCTCAGTTGTTTATTCTATTCATACATGTTTGACAAAACTATGGACAAAAGCAGAAAAACATCCCCTTTTGACATGACGAGTGGTCACAGGTGTCACAGCCCCACCCTGAGAGGACACTAGTGGTGGGGGGAAAACGATTCTGTTCAGTATCGTGATTTTTTGGGCCCGCAATTAAATTGAAGTAAAGTATTGGTGTTTTCTCTGAATTTACTCAGATCGTTTACATCATATTATGTCTGCTTTTTGTTATTCTAGTCTATTGTATGGGAATAATTTAAGTTATGTGCAGGGAGCTCACCATTCATGTGAGAGGTCACCTTCAGATAATAATTATGTCCTGCGTCCTGAAAGATCAGGAATGAAGTTTTTTCTCTACCTTCAAGGTTTTTGCACTTTAGTTAATGTGCAGATCATAATAAATGTGATATTTGAGTTGAGCAGTTTTATTTATCTCAATTTTTGTAATGCTTGAATAATATGACAATTAATCACAATATGTCACAGAATTGAATTGCAGTACTTGCTGTATCACAATATTTAAAAAATCACAATAAAATTGAATTGTGGCCCAAATATCGCAATACTGTCAGATCCTCACATTTTTGCAAATTCCCATCACTAGTGGACCCTGATGTGATGGCCCCTCTGAGAGGACACTGATGTCATGCTGATGGATATGAGGGTGGACATGGGACAGGGCGTGTGCTCACCCTGCAGGCCGCTCCCATTGGTGGAGGTGCAGTTTGTGGGCGGGGAGATCTGAGGCCTCACGACGGGGGCGAAGGCGCTCTTCTGTTTGACTGTGGAGGACAGGACATGAGCATGGGCCTGATCCTGCCCACTGGAACACACACCTCACAAGACAGCTTCATCTGCCCCTTCTCTGCACATTTAATTATTTGTCCCTTTACAGAATTTCAGATAAACTATTTATGTTGCAATAATATGGACAGTACCACTTTCACTACAAAATAAGACTAATAAATAACAGGAGAATTATTTGGACGTTGGGCCTTAAGTCCAATTATTCAGAAGAATTTGACATCAAAACACGGAGCTGTAAGTGAACGCATGTCACTCTAGTTCTGTGGAGTTGGACCAAAGCCATGATCCCTGACCACATGTCTGACCTAGCCAGGGACAGAGGGGGGTGGAGTCATGCTGGACACGGGGGGATGGCAGATGAAGGTGGAGGATGCAGACTTGATACACAGAAGCGACACGATGTACAGCTGAAACCAGAGCTCAAAGTGACATAGTAAAAAATATCATGATTTTTCTCTCACTGTCTGATATTTTAGGGCAGTTATATGGACTTGATCAATGCCACAATATTGAGTGAAGTATTAAATCCTTGCGTGAGGCCGTTTAGCTGCAAGAGGATCAGGTGCAGATCATAAAACACAGCAGATGGAATCATGACAAAGGAACAGTATGGAAATAATGAAGCAAAGGCAGTGACCCTAAACCATGTTCTGGTCACCCCAAAGCCCTGATTTTGGTCCTACAAAAATATGTGTGGGTAGATGCCAAAAGACGTGTGAGAGCAAGGAGGCCTACAAACCTGACTCCACAGCTCTGTGAAGAGGATTGGGCAAGATTTCCAGCCAAATCACGTGAGAAAATTGTGGAAGGATATCAATAGAGCAATATTAACAAAAACAATGTTTAGTTTAGATTAGCCCTCACTAACTAGCTTACCCTAACCCTGACCCTACTCCTAAAACTAGCCCTAACGCTAACGCTAACACACTTTTGGAAAGTTGTCAGTTTGTAGTAAGGCTTAATAAACACCAATGAAGAGCTAATTAACCACACATTCAACACTAATTATGACTTCATTAGCTGTAAATCAGTGAAGGCTTATCTAAAGTGTGTATAAGTGTGTGTATATTAATAATATAAAACGTGTGATCTCCTGACCTCTCTCAATATTGTGGCATTGAACAAAGATAATCTTAAGATTTAACCTCAGCCAGTGCTGAAAAAATATGCATAGTTTTACAGCGTGTATGTAAACTTCAACTGCGATTGGCAACGAGAGCTTTGTGCTGTGGGCCTATAGAAGATGATTCAACTCAGTCGTCTTTTTTTTAAGTAAGTAAGTAAGAAATCTTAATTTATATACCGCCTTTTACAGACCAGAGTCACAAAGCGGTTTACAATTGTGGGTATTAGTCTCTCACTCCACACAGAGATACTGTAGGAGCGGGGCCAGTACAGGAGGCGCATGCCAGACCTATTGTACATGTTTTTAGTGGCAGGGGAAACCGGAGCACACGGAGGAAACCGAAAACCTATCGGAAACCGATAGGTCTCTTGCTGAGAAGCGAGAGACCTATCCACTCCCGCCCACTGGTATAGTGTATTCTTAAAACATATGTACAAGAGACAAAAAAACTATAAACAAGATACAATCTGGGTTATTCTTTTCAACCTCAGAAACTACAACAACACAAAATGAGAGTGGACCTGCCTTCTGACCTCCTCCAATGAAAGAGAATCCAACGCAGAGCAAAGTGAATCCACCGCTCCTTTATGGACAATGCTGTATAAACCAGAAACCCCACAGACCCACCTCTGCTCCAACCATGAACCAGTTCAGAGACTTTTTGCCCAAAAGCCAAAATGAATATTCAACAGAGGCAAGTGAAGAGCCAAAAGCCACATTTGGGGCTCGAACACCTGCTAATTGTTTGTTTATTAATTTATGTCAAACCTGCAGGTGTATACAAACAAGAAAACAAAAATAAAAAGTCTGCTTGGTTTGAAAGAAGGATGATGGAAGCTTAAACTTATATAAACTACCCCCCCCCACACACACACACACACACACACTCTACTCACTAATAACTCAGTGCTGATTATTATTACTTAATCTATCGTGACCTGAGATAATTATTTTGGGGGATAATGTTGGGTTTTTTGCTTTCACCTCACAGCAAGAAAGTCCTGGGTTTGTTTGACTCCTGGTCGCTGCAATCTTTCCTTATCGTCTTGAGTTCCTTGTCCCATTCTTTAGGTTTACTCAACATTTCAAACAAATCTGCCCAATTCTTGTTGAGGTAATGATGGGGGAGAAGAGCAGATGCCAAACAAAGGAATAGTTGTCTTGGTTTTGTCTTCAGCCAAAGACTTTAATGATCAATAGTGCCTTGCCGTGCTGAACCAGGACGTTTTTAGTTATTTTTTAAAAGCCTGAGAGTATTCGAGAGTGTGATCAGAGGAGGGCTCTTCCTTCTCCAGTCCCTGCTCAAACAGGACCCAATAGACCCCCAACATATCTACTCTTTCTTTCTGCAGTGTGAGTGATAGATTAGAATAGGTAAGATTCAACGTTATTGTCATTACAAAGTCAGAACAATGCAACGGAATGCAGTTCAGCTAACCAGTCGTGCAATAGCGAAAGTATAGGATGATATTAACAACACAACACAACACAATCTACCACCGTGGGTCAGAGCCGCTGATTCACTGGTCAGTTTTGAATCTCTTCTGAAGACCCATTTCTTTTCACTGGCTTTTTAACATGCGTTGAGCTGAATCTCTCTTTTTATATTTATGTTTATTGCCTGTTGTACATTTTAAATAAATAGTTTTTACTATGTGATTCACCAATTTGTAAAGCACTTTGGGTTTTTTGGTATTTTATCTGACAACACAGATAAATACATTTGCATATAAGTGAGACTGTACAAGCTGCTATTGCTAGTAAATACATTAATTATATCACATTATATTAAAGTGCAGCTAATGGGCTTTAACAGGTTGAGAGTTCAGGAGTGTGACTCTCAAAAGGGGGATTTAACAAATAAAAGTTTCTGCTGACACCCCGTCTCACAGAGTTTATCGCTCACACCAGTGTCATGTGATTTTGTGACTAAATGACAAATAACAAAGTCTTAACAGCCACAAATCCACAGCCAGTCTAAATCCAGTCTTAACCCGGACTGGACTGCAGGACTGGCTGATATTTTCTTGTGGATTTTCACGGGTCTCTGAGGCCTGAGTGAATTATAAATGCTTTTCCGCTCTGTGGCAGCAGTTCTGGATCGCTGCTCCTTTTGGCACTGCTCACAGATGTATTTTTTGATTTGAAATGGATTCCACCCAAAGTGTAAGGATCCCAGGAGGACTCAAGCAGGGGAATATTCCGAGCAAGGACACGAGTGGAGAGGAAACGAGTGGGTAGGAAAGGAAACGAGATGGGGCCAGTGGAGGAAGTGTCAGGACTGAAACAGGACTAAAGCAAGACTGGACCAGTAATGAAGCAGGGCAAAACCAGGACCAGACCACACTGTTCTATTGCCTGTGGCTTAAATCTGGGTGAGATGAAGAAGATTATAAACACAAGGAACAATACTTTCCATAATAACAGCGTAACAAGAGAGAAGTTCTTACCGTCAGAGTTTGGGATTTTGCATGTGCTGCTCTTTCTTTTTTAAAGTTGTCCTTGTTTGAAAATGTCTAAAATGCTCCATGTGGATGATAAACTTCTGTAGTCCAGATGTCAGAAACCTTTTACCTGAGTCTCATTCTATACTATGAATAAGTGTGATTTTTAAAACAAGATCAGCACATTGTGTAAAATATGTCTCAGAATGTTGTATTATTTTGGTTAATAACATGTTTCTACTGAAGAAATCCATTACATACATTCTTACTATTAACTCATTGACTGCCATTAACGTATTTGTCTGAGACTGGTGATTTCTGTCAAACTTCCCTCTATTCGACCGGGGATTACAGGACAACAAAATTAGCTAGAAACAAACTTTTTTTTGCTGATGAAAGTAGACAGTCGAGTCCTTCATGATCTGGTTACATATTTTCACGTAGTCATAGCACATAATATTCTGTGGGTCTTGAGAATCAGTGAAATCATCAAAAGCGGCTGACAGTCAATGAGTTAATGCCGACTAATATTTGACCGAGAGCCAAACAATCATCCAAAGAGCCACATTTGGCTCCTGAACCCTTTTATTTTGACACGGGTCCAAACAACATTCTGAGCATCTCTGTAGTGTATAACACCTATAGCTGAGGATTCAGACTGTGAGGAGTTTGAGCTTTGAGACAGAAGGGGCAGGGCAATGTATTGATGCCAGATTAGTTTATGATATTAGCATGGATGAAGTAAGTCCAAGGTCTCAGAGATGTCTGCCCCTGGTCTCAGAGATGTCTGCCCCTGGTCTCAGAGATGTCTGCCCCTGGTCTCAGAGATGTCTGCCCCTGGTCTCAGAGATGTCTGCCCCTGGTCTCAGAGATGTCTGCCCCTGGTCTCAGAGATGTTTACTCCTGGTCTCAGAGATGTTTACTCCTGGTCTCAGAGATATCTGCCCCTGGTCTCAGAGATGTCTGCCCCTGGTCTCAGAGATGTCTGCCCCTGGTCTCAGAGATGTTTACTCCTGGTCTCAGAGATATCTGCCCCTGGTCTCAGAGATGTCCACAGGACCAAAGGGACACATGAGTGTTCTGACCAATCAGCACGCCACAGATCAGAGCGCAGATAAAGCGAAGATTTAGCAAAGCAAGAGCGGAAAGAGAGTGAACCGAGTTTGTGGCACAAAAGTGTGGATATTTGGATACATTTTTTCAAAATAAAAAAGTTCAGGATGACAAAGGACACTAAATTCCACACAAAATCTGACTTTATATATATTTTTTTAAACTATAGGTTGTCAGGAAAGTTTCCTTTATGAATTTAAGCTGCGGCGCCGTGACTTCCCCTTGTCCATCCAGGAGATGGAGCTTAAGCAGCAACAGCCCATCCAGATAATAAAATACATCCTGTTTGGTTCTCTGATCTGTGTTGGCAAATCAATGGTTTTTATGTTGTGATTTAGGGAAAAAGACAAATAAATTGAGTTGAAATGAAGCTACAACTCCGGGTCTGAGGCTGATCTGAACTACGGAAACAGTTCAAAACTCCAAAAGACCATTTAGCAATCAATGCCTCCTTTAAGTCCACCATAGAACTTTTCAGCAGCAGATTTGACATTTGTATTTAGTGCAAGATGCGGTGAGCGTAGTCCAGCCTCAGCCTTGGTCCACCTGCTTGTTTACACTCTCCCCTGGCCGGCCTCCGTCCATCGCCTGCAGCTCTCTCAGACTCAGGTGTGTTCGTTAGCAAGCCGCGATGCTCCGCGCTCCTCCGCCGGGGAAGCCTTGTTTTGGCCGGCTTTAAAAGCGGGACTTTTGGCGTGTGCGTTTTTTTCCTTTCCTTTATTTTCTCCGTCTCTTCCCCCGCGCTCGGAGACTCATTTGGCGAGGAGCGGAGCTGGCAGCGGGAGCCGGCGGGTCCCTGGACTCGGCACAAACGCGGTTAAGATTCTGGGAGTTAGCGCGAGCGGATTAGCAGCAGCGCACCGGCCGCATGTAGAGCAGGGATAACAACTCGCGCGGAAACTGTGGGGGATAAAGGTGTATTTGTGAGGAATAATAAGGATTTACGCAGGGATTTGGTGTTTTTAGGAGGAAATAAGTGGTCCGTGGTCAGCGAGACGGCTTTTGTCAGGCCTGGTTAAGATGTGGGTTACCCTGCGTTATGTTTTCAAGCAGCCGCAGCAACAGGAAGTGTGCGAGAGTGAAAATACATGGATGATACAGGGAAAAACCAGGACTGAAGCAGGACTGAAGCAGGACTAAAGCAGGACTAAAGCAGGACTGAAGCAGGACTAAAGCAGGACTGAAGCAGGACTGAAGCAGGACTAAAGCAGGACTAAAGCAGGACTGAAGAAGGACTGAAGCAGGACTAAAGCAGGACTGAAGCAGGACTGAAGCAGAACTAAAGCAGGACTGAAGAAGGACTGAAGCAGGACTGAAGAAGGACTGAAGCAGGACTGAAGAAGGACTGAAGCAGGACTAAAGCAGGACTGAAGAAGGACTGCTGAAGCAGGACTAAAGCAGGACTGAAGAAGGACTGAAGCAGGACTAAAGCAGGGACTAAAGCAGGGACTAAAGCACGCCTAAAGCAGGTCTGAAGAAGGACTAAAGCAGGACTGAAGAAGGACTAAAGCAGGACTGAAGAAGGACTAAAGCAGGACTGAAGAAGAACTAAAGCAGGACTAAAGCAGGACTAAAGCAGGACTAAAGAAGGACTAAAGCAGGTCTGAAGAAGGACTAAAGCAGGACTGAAGAAGGACTAAAGCAGGACTGAAGAAGGACTAAAGCAGGACTGAAGCAGGACTAAAGAAGGACTAAAGCAGGTCTGAAGAAGGACTAAAGCAGGACTAAAGGAGGACTAAAGGAGGACTAAAGCAGGGACAAAAGCAGGGACAAAAGCAGGGCTAAAGAAGGACTAAAGCAGGACTAAAGCAGGACTAAAGCAGGACTAAAGCAGGACTAAAGCAGGACTAAAGCAGGACTAAAGCAGGAACTAAAGCAGGACTAAAGCAGGACTGAAGAAGGACTGAAGCAGGACTGAAGAAGGACTAAAGCAGGACTGAAGAAGGACTAAAGAAGGACTAAAGGAGGACTACAAAAGGACTAAAGCAGGGACTAAAGAAGGACTAAAGCAGGACTACAAAAGGACTAAAGCAGGACTACAAAAGGACTAAAGCAGGACTACAAAAGGACTAAAGCAGGGACTAAAAAAGGACTAAAGCAGGACTAAAGCAGGACTAAAGCAGGACTAAAGCAGGACTAAAGCAGGGCTAAAGAAGGACTAAAGCAGGACTAAAGCAGGACTGAAGCAGGATTTACCCTGGACTGAGGCAGGACTCAACAAGGATTGTTTTCTGGCACAAACACGTCCCCCTGCTCCTTCTGTCTAAATCAGGGCTGTCCAAACATTTAGCACGAGGGCCACTTTAGCTTTCAAACTTATTACACATAATTTAAAGCTGAGAATCTGCAGAATTCAGCATCTGTATTTACCATCTGTCATTGAACAATCTGCAGCAGAGGTTCAAATCATAAGTTCATAATCTCATATAAAAACTATACAACTTGAAAGTTGAATTATTGACTTCAGATATACTTGCTTCTTCCAAGCATTTGGGACTGATCTAACATGAAAGATTTTCTTTATAATACAGCCACATGCAGGATCATGGATGGGGAAATCAAAAATATATTGTAATTGGTTGATAAATTAGTGAACGGCAAAGAAGAATCCCAAAGTGAAATCCTGAAACCGTATCAACTCGACATTTAAAATCTGTTGTTCCCTATTTTATGAGGTATAACATCATGTCCTTGATTCATATTGGACTTGGCTGAAGTTGGCTGAAGTTGGCAAATGTTTACTTTCTCACCAACATTAGCGTGGACCCGGTACCGAATACAATAACAAGCTTTTCCACCTAAATATACTTTTCCGTAAACCCCCCTTTTTTAATTGTATTTATTTATTTAGTTTTATTCCCCACCTGAAGCGTGTCCTAAAAAGGGCTATATAAGTTATATGTATTAATATTATTATTATTATTATTGTGAAACCATACAGTGGTCGTGGGTACTAGGTCAGTGAGGTACAGCGCATCTGCACAGGCGGAGCTGAAGATGGCTGGATGACACTTCTGTTATGATCTCAATGATAGTAAGAAAGCTTTATTCATACAGTGCCTTTCACAGACCAAGGCCACAAAGCGCTTCACAGTAAAGGCAGATAAAATACAAGTTGGTGACTTTGTGGTTGAGTTAAAAGACACAGGGCCACGTAACACAACAATGAGGGCCGAGATTGGTCCCTGCGCCGGACTTTGGCCATGTCTGGTCTGAATTCTCTGTCATCAAACCCAACGCAAAACATGACAGATGCCCAGACTATGACATTATAGGCTTTTGTCCTTACTATTCTTACTTAAACTTATGTGTGTTACTGTACATACATCACACATGCTGGAGCAACTATCAACTATGTGATGAAATCCATGTCTCACGTTCCTGGTTCTAAAACTGTTCCATCACTAGTTGGCCTCAGTGGACTCAGCTCATGTTGTGATCTGGTTTGTTCACATGTAAAAAAACAAAAGTGCTGTACTCCAGCGTTGATTCAGGGAGGATTAGCACATGCTCCGCTCCTCTCAACTCTTCTGTTTCCCTTTTCCTGAGATTTGTATTGTTATAATCCAAGTTACGGGAGTTCACTACTGTGTTCTAACAGTAAAACACCAGCCACAGTCCTGGATCTACAGCCCCAGTCCTGGATCTACAGCCTCAGTCCTGGATCTACAGCCTCAGTCCTGGATCTACAGCCTCAGTCCTGGGTCTACAGCCTCAGTCCTGGATCTACAGCCCCAGTCCTGGATCTACAGCCTCAGTCCTGGATCTACAGCCTCAGTCCTGGATCTACAGCCTCAGTCCTGGATCTACATTCTCAGTCCTGAATCTACAGCCTCAGTCCTGGATCTACAGCCTCAGTCCTGAATCTACAGCTTCGGTCCTGGATCTACAGCCTCAGTTCGTGATCTACATTCTTCGGTCCTGGACCTACAGCCTCAGTCATGGGTAATCAGCCTCAGTCCAGGACCTACAGCCTCAGTCATAGATCTACAGCCACAGTCCTAGATCTAAAGCCTAGTGAAGTCCCTTCCTAGTTCCCAGGTGTTGATCCTGCAGGACAGATGTGAAATACAGCTCTGACTGGACCTATATCTGACCTCCTCCCCGCCTCAAAGATGGACCAAAGCAGGGGGACGGCGGTAGGGTGAATGGCCCGGGTGGAGATGGATCATGGGGGATGCAGAGGTGGGACAGGGGACCACACTCACTGGCATATGGGGAGTTTCCCGTTGCTCCGTTCAGGAAGGAGGGTGAGGCCGGCACGGGCAGGCTGCCCATGCCCGAGCCGTAGCCGTTCATGGAGGACGAGATGGTGTTGTAGTTGGACTGCTGTGGCGTGGAGCTGGGCGCGTAGCCACGAGGAGACACGGAGCTGGAGGTGCGCGAGTATCCTGGAGGAAAAGCAGAAACAGCAATCAGGAAACATGATAAGAGAACCTTTATTCATCCCACAGTGGGGAAATTTCAATATTGCAGCGCACAAAATATACAATAAACAATATGAGTAGCTGCTATGTTTCTTAGCTACACTCTAAAACAGGTGTCTCCAACCTTATTCCCCCAGAGAGCTACTTTCCCTGAACGATAAAGGCAGTGAGCTACTCCTTTAAGCAAAAATTTGTGATATATTGGTGTAAAGGAGCCTAATATCGGGAAAAGTCATTATTTATCATCACATATTTGTTACTAGTGACAAAAAGTAAGTGCATTTACAATCTATAATATAATAATACAATCTGAAATATGAAGAGTATTTTTGGATGTGTTCCTTTCTAAATCCTTTGGCGAGCTACCTGGAAGGGGGTGGCGAGCTACAGGTGGCCCCCGAGCTACAAGTTGGAGACCCCTGCTCTAAAAAGTAATGACTTAACTCAACAAGACAAGATATTCCTTCATTTGTCTCACAGTGGGGAAAGTTCAGTGTCATCGTTGCGCAGATTAGAGCAGAGAAGAGCCCTCGGATTGCACACATCAAACAGAGTCTCTCATTTAAGATAATAGACAATAACATTTAAATAATCATGTTGTTAAATAAAACAAATAAAACAAAAAAAACTCTGGAGCTTTAATTGCACTTGGATCAGAAGTATTTAAAGATGTGTATATTGGGCAGAATAATAAATAGCATTTTGTTATAATTACTGAGGCAACCCTCTCCATTGGTCTTTTTACGTTGTATGAACTAAAGTGAAATTGTCTTCAACTAATTGCTTTTTTTCAATTTTAGGCAACTTGCTTTTCTCAACAGTCACTCAAATGTCACATATTTATTTAGAGTTGACTGCCTACTTATTTGAGTGCAGTATCGCACGTTGCACATGATAGTAGTCTTTAATATTTACACGTGACATGTACAGGCGGTTCTCATTGTACAGTCTGACAACAGCAAGACCTATGGAATCTCTCCTTCACACAACGAGGAACAATTAAAAGGAGGAAATGTGGTCAAAAATAATCAGACCTCAATTTTCTGTCTCAATCTTGGTCAGATTCCAGTATTTTCCATTTGCAGTAAAACCACAATGGAATACATGTGCAAAAGTCCCCAGTGTGCAAAAGACAAGTGCATAAATAAAGCAAATGTTGTATCTTCTCCTGTGTTACTACATGCATCCGAATGTATTCTGGGACATGACTCTGAGGCCAATTTTTAGATAGGCAAGGCAAGGCAAGTTTATTTGTATAGCACAATTCATACACAAGGCAACTCAAAGTGCTGAACAGAACAAGAAAGCATTAAAATCATAAATAATCACAGTACATTAAAAAAAAAAGATAAAAATATAAAATCCCTCAGTTGTATGCACAGCTAAACAGAACCGTCTTTAACCTGGTTTTAAACATTGTCAGAGAGGAGGCCTGTCTCACATCTTCAGGAAGACTGTTCCAGATTTTAGCAGCATGAATCTGAAAAGCAGCCTCCCCATGTTTAGTTCTGACTCTGGGCACTAACAGGAGTCCAGTCCCTGTGCTCCTCAGAGTCCGGGCTGGTTCATATGGGACTAACATGTCACTAATATAGTTTGGTGCGAGGCCATGGAGAGATTTGTACACAAGCAGAGCTGTTTTAAAGTCTATTCTCTGAGCCACAGGAAGCCAGTGCAGGGACCTGAGGACCGGACTAATGTGGTCGTACTTCCTGGTTCTAGTCAGGACTCGAGCTGCTGCATTTTGAATGTACTGCAGCTGTTTTACAGCCTGTTTGGACAGACCTGTGAGCAGGCCATTGCAGTAGTCTAACCTACTGGAGACAAATGCATGGATAAGAATCTCCAAGTCTGCTTTAGACACTATGTTTTTGATCCTGGCAATGTTTTTTAGATGGTAAAAAGCTGCTGATGTTACTGATTTGATGTGGCTATTAAAATTTAAGTCTGAGTCCAGTATTACCCCTAGATTTCTGACCTTGTTTGAAGGTTTTAGGGAGAGAGACTGTAGGTGACAGATGACGCTCTCTCTTTGTTTCTGGGGACCAAAGACAATCATTTCAGTTTTGTCTGCATTTAGCTGAAGGAAGTTGTTTTGCATCCACTCACTGATCTGTTGGATACAGTGAAGGAGTGAGTCCACTGGTCCATGTTCTCCTGCAGTCAGTGAGACATAGATCTGAGTGTCGTCTGCATAGTTATGATAGGACACTTTGTTTCTGCGTGTTAACTGACCTAACGGCAACATGTAAAGATTGAACAGAAGAGGTCCCAGGATCGACCCCTGTGGTACTCCACAGGTCAGGGCCATATGATCTGAGACACAGTCTCCAATCTCCACAAAGTACTTCCTGTCTTCAAGGTAAGACCTAAACCAACTTAGGGCGGTGCCAGCGACTCCAACCCAGTCCTCTAGTCTCTGTAAGAGGATCTCATGGTCGACGGTGTCAAAGGCAGCACTCAGATCTAACAAGATTAAGATTGAGACTTTGCCTGCGTCAGTGTTCAGCCGGATATCGTTTGTAACCTTGACAAGAGCAGTCTCAGTGCTGTGGTGGGGTCTAAAGCCGGACTGAAACATATAGAATGAGTTGTTAATTATAAGAAATCTAGTAAGCTGTAGGTAGACAACTTTTTCAAGGACTTTCCCCATAAATGGCAGATTTGAGATGGGACGATAGTTGTTAAGTACCGTAGCATAGATAGATAAAGAAGAAAGATAGACAAAATTCAGAAGTTATCACATTTGCATTCTCGCCTTGGACATGGAATACCTTGGACATAGGTGGACGCCTCTGAGATCCAGCCATGTATGGAAACACCTGGATGGATCTCAGACGGACATGGACTGATTCTCCTTTACGTCATCACTCTAAGAAGGACAGTGCCTTTGAAACCTGGTCTTTCTGCAATTATCTTTTGTTTAGACCCAGGCTTACATTTAGCCTGTATTCGACTGATGTGTTCTGTTTTGAGTGCATTCCTTCTCCAACACTTATTACTGTTAGTGCGGGAAACCTGATCTTCTGTAGACAGAAGATACAACACGAGCCCCCACCACCACCACCCTCCTCCTTCTTCTCATGCTCACCAGCACCGGGTGAGTACTGTGGTGCAAACACTGACTCCTTTCCGTCTGGCAGTGAAATAACAGTCTTGCCTCTGAACCGTGCTGCCTCCTGCTCTAAACAACGAAGCAATGCCGTCCTGAATCCGGGACTTACACAGCAAAAGAGTTCACATGTTAGACAAATAGAAACTGTGTGTGTTCCTCGCATCAGTTTCAAAAAATGTTTTTATTTGAATGGAAAACAAAATCATAACAGAAGGACAGCAGTTAGACATTCAAATCTAATTCCTGCTCCTTGTAAAAATCAATTAACTAAACCCACTGTTACTGATATTAATTTTAAAATTGCTATGCTTAATGTCAGATCACTGTGCAACAAATCATTTTTAATTAATAATTTTATCCGTTCTTATGATCTTGATTTTATGTTTCTGACTGAAACTTGGCTTGACCAGAGTACAGGTAATGCGGTTTTAATAGAAGCAACGCCACCAAACTTCAAATTTGAATCTGAAATACGAGAAAATAAAAGGGGGGGAGGCATTGCTGCATTATTTAGAGATCGTATTATCTCTCATAGAATTCTCCTTGGAAATTTTCTATCATTTGAGTATATTTCTTTTAAAATAGAACAAAAACAATCTCCTTCTATTCTTATCATTGTCCTGTACAAGCCACCGCAGTCTTGTCACAATTTCTTTGATAATTTCACTGAGTTGCTTTCAGTTGTTTGCACCGATTTTGATAGTTTAGTGATTACAGGTGATTTTAATATTCATGTGGATAATGGCAATGACAAAAATGCAAAAGAGCTGAGTTCTGTACTTGAAACATTTGGTCTCACTCAGCACGTGAGTGGCCCCACCCACAGCAAAGGGCACACTCTAGACCTGCTGGTTACAAAGGGGGTTAATATTTTAAATGTAAATGTGGTTGACGTGGCTCTGTCAGATCACTTCTGTGTATTTTTTGACATGTGTTTTGATAGTAAACAACCATATATATCTGAATCTGCAATTGTCAGACACAGACACATAAATGAAAACACAACCGAACTATTCATGGGAATGATAAACTTTGAGAACACATTGTGTTCTACTGTTGACGAATTGTTTAACTCTGTCACCGCCAATGTTATAAATGTTCTGGACATCATCGCTCCTGTGAAGGTTAAAATGATTACAAATAAGCCAAAGGCCCCCTGGACTAAAATGGACTCAGTCATGGTACAGAAGAGAGAGTGCCGTAGGGCCGAGCGGAAGTGGCGAAAATCCAATCTCCAGGTTGATCATGATATCTTCAAAAATGAGTTGTGCAAGTTTAACAGGGTGCTACGTAGAACAAGAGAAATTTATTTTTCTAAAACCATTGATGGCTGCAATAATAATCTACGACTTATGTTTTCAACAGTTAACGGATTAACAAACCCCCCTGTTCAGCTGCCATTCGAATTTGCTTCAGAATCTAAATGTAATGAGTTTGCACAATTTTTCAATGACAAGGTTCAGAGCATCAAAAACGCCATCACCTCCAAGGCGGAAATAACATTACAACAGCCGGTGAGGCTGTTTGAGCTATCGCACTTTGCACCAACAGATAATGAAACTGTCCAAGATGTTGTCTCTAGCCTTAGTTCCTCCACATGTAGCCTGGATGTACTACCCACTAAATTTTTTAAGTCTGTTTTGAGCAGTCTTTTACCTTTGCTCACACAAATAGTGAACATGTCTTTCTCATCTGGAACATTTCCAATGGCCCTGAAAACGGCAGTCATCAGACCCCTCCTAAAAAAGAGGAGTCTAGATGCCACAGTTCTTAAGAATTATCGCCCCATTTCAAATCTGCCGTTTATGGGAAAAATTCTGGAAAAAGTTGCTTACCAACAACTTACAGAATTCTTAGTAACTAATAGTTCGTTTGATGCGCTCCAGTCCGGCTTTAGAGCCAATCACAGCACTGAGACTGCACTAGTGAAGGTTACAAATGACATCCGACTTAACACCGACACAGGAAAAGTCACAGTTTTAGTAATGTTGGATCTGAGTGCTGCGTTCGACACAGTCGACCACGAGATCCTCATGCAGAGACTAGAGCACTGGGTGGGTGTCACTGGGACTGCCCTAAGTTGGTTTAGGTCTTACCTAGAAGACAGGAAATACTTGGTTCAGATAGGAAACTGTGTCTCAGATCATATGGCTCTGACCTGCGGAGTGCCACAGGGATCAATTCTGGGGCCTCTTCTGTTCAATATTTACATGCTGCCGTTAGGTCAGTTAATACGCTCCAACAATGTATCCTACCACAATTACGCTGATGACACTCAAATTTATGTCTCACTTACTGCAGGAGAACATGGACCAGTGGAATCACTCCTTCACTGTACTCAACAGATTAGTGATTGGATGCAAAATAACTTCCTTCAGCTAAACGCAGACAAAACAGAATTGATTGTCTTTGGTCCTCAGAAACAAAGAGAGAGCGTTATTCGTCACCTCCAGTCTCTCTCCCTGGAACCTGTAGGCAAGGTCAGAAACCTAGGAGTTATAATGGACTCAGACTTAAATTTTAACAGTCATATCAAATCAGTAACATCAGCAGCATTTTACCATCTGAAAAACATTGCCAAAATTAGAAACATAGTGTCTAAATCAGATCTGGAGATTCTCATCCATGCATTTGTCTCCAGTAGGTTAGACTACTGCAATGGCCTGCTCACAGGTCTCTCCAAACAGGCTGTAAAACAACTGCAGTATGTCCAAAATGCTGCAGCTCGAGTCCTGACCAGGACCAGGAAATATGACCACATTAGTCCAGTTCTCAGGTCTCTGCACTGGCTTCCTGTGGCTCAGAGAATAGACTTCAAAGCAGCACTGCTTGTGTACAAGTCTCTCCATGGCCTCGCACCAGGGTACTTAAGCGACTTGTTAGTCCCATATGAACCGGCCCGGACTCTGAGGAGCACAGGAGGTAACCTCTTACTGGTTCCAAGAGTCAGAACTAAACATGGGGAGGCAGCGTTTGAGATTTATGGAGCTAAAATCTGGAACAATCTTCCTGAGGCTGTGAGGCTAGCATCTACTCTGGCAATTTTTAAATCAGGGCTAAAAACTGTTCTTTTTAGCTGTGCATACGGCTGAAGGATTTTATTGATACATACTCTTTTTTTTTAATGCATTGTGGTTATTTATTATTTTAATCCCGTGTGTGCTTTTAATATTTTAATTTTTATTTTTTTTTTTCTCTATTACTTGTGATTTTATTCTGTTTTTAATGTATTTATTGATGTCTCTGATTTGTGTGATATTATGTGGGTTGTGAGGCGCTTTGAGTGGCCTTGTGTTGGAAAGGCGCCATACAAATAAAGTTGATTGATGATTGATAAAAGTAGACAAATAGAACAAGCTAAAAAAAAGTACAAGCAACAATCGTCACTGCGAAATCAATCAATAAAATACGATTTCAATACAAGTGAAAGATCATTTAAATGTTTTGTTCAAACTGATAACAGCTGTTAGCATATCCAGATGTCATGCCTTTCGACAAACTATATCTTCTGCCAGAGGGAAGAAGCTGGAACACGGCTTTTCCAGAGTGGCCATAAGAGTCACTGGTTATTTATTTATTTATTTATAATTCATAAAGAACCCTTAGAACAGACAGCTCTCCGCAGACAGAGCCCAGATCTTATCAGAAAACATCTCATCTTTTGCACTGTACTTTGGGCTGGGAGCTGATTGGCCACATTACTTTTCCGTAAATGCATGCAAAAAACAAATTGATAATTGTAGACGCAAAATGGTTTTAGAGCCAGAAACTTGTGACATGGTTAACTCCTAAGTATTCAGTTTGAAAACCAGCCCTTTTTTACAACTTCAAAATTGTAATTAAATAACTATGGTATTTAATGTTTATAATGTGGTAATAATACAAGCCTTGTCTTATCCATGTGACTAAAAATATAGAATGTGATTACTGGGTTTACTTTCACACAGGGACCAGGGGGAGACTGTAATAATTCCAGATGTCTGTAAATGTCTATAAAGTTTCCCCAGACGGACACCCGGTAAATCTATTCTAGTTTAATCTGATCCTGTTTAATCCTGCTTTGTCCAGTTTTTCGAGGATTGGAGCTCGTAATGGTTAAAAATGTCTCACAGATATCTCATGTCCATTTTCCAATTCAATCAAAGTATTTATATTTTTAGAAAGTTGAAAACACAGAGCATGGAATGGAGATACAGCTGTTATCTATTAAGAAAAGTGGCCTAGAACACAGTGATGAGGCAAGAACTCAATTCTGTAAAACACATTTCTTGAGTGATAATAAATAAATAAAATAGCATCTTAATTAAACTCTGTGTGAATTGCTTTCATAAATCGTTTGATGGTTGCTGTGGGACGTGTTTAATGAAGCCACAATAATGGTTTTAATGAGAGACACTTTTAATAAAGCACAGGAGAGGAGCAGAGCGGCAGGAGCTCCAAAAGGCCGGTGATCGGAGCGCCAAACACGGGTTAACGGCAAAACCTAAAAACAGCCAAAACAGGGAGGTCGCAGCATGTGGTCGCACTGTCAGCCCTAAACTCCACTCACACTTACACTTCTAACACTTCTGCTACATCAAACCTGGAGGTGGAGATCAGCAACTTGCACACAGCGGATACAGAATACAAGTGAAAGATCATCCATCCATTTACTTCCCCTTTATCTGGAGCCCGGACAGATGAGAGGCCTTCCACCAGTGCATGCTCAGAGGTTTCCCAAACACCTCCTCTCACCAGCTGGCTTCTGTACGTGTGGAGGAGCAGTGGCTCTAATCTGAAAACTCTCCCAAAGCTCATGACCATACACGAGGGGGGAACCCCTGAGATAAAAGTCTGAAACAGTGACTTTTAAATCTGCAGACACTGCACCAACCATCTGTCTCACACTCCATCTTTCCCTCACTGAGAACCAGAACTGAGAGACTAGGACTCCTCCTGAGGGAGGACCTCTGCACCTGGAGAGGACCGGGAGCTTCCTCTGGTCTAACTGTGACAGAGGGTTTGGAGGGGCTGATTATCCTCCCAGCTGCTTCACACTCTGCTGCACATTGCACCAGCACGTGTTGGAGGTCCTGACAAAGAGGCCTGGAGCGTCGTAAGGTGCAGCGTGGAGTTGGGGCTCACGCGAGCACCTGGTGCTTGGAGCTTTGCCCACAGTGGGAAGAGACATGGACCCTTGTGTGGTCAGAGGGTTCCATGAGGGTTGAGTACAGAGAGGACTGGGAGAGTCTTAATGACTGTTCTGAATATAATGTGAGATAACCTATTGTACCTGTAAACAGTATGTGTGCTAAAACACGAGGTGCTCATGACGACTCTGTAATATCTCTGAGATATCAATAAATAATGAGTGAGGCAGTATAGACGCAGGTCCTTAGAATGCCAGGCCCAGGGTGCCGGAGGTGCATTGTGGGTAGTGTCGTACCCTGCTCTTGCGAGGCCTCAGAGATGTTGACTGCAAGCTGCGAGCTGAAGGAGTTGACTCCCATCATGCCGTGGGGCTGAGAGCCGATGGAGGGCAGCTGGTTGTGTCCCCGAGGCACTGAGTACAGGGCCTCAGTGAGGTCTGCGGCCCGCTTCAATATCAGCTCCTGTGCACACAGAGGACCTGCTTTAGACCTACCATAGTCCTGCTTTAGCCCTACTTTAAACCTGCTTTAGTCTTGCTCTAGACAATGCTTTATTCTTCTTTAGTCCTACGTTAAACCTGCTTTAGTCTTGCTCTAGACAATGCTTTAGTTCTTCTTTAGTCCTACGTTAAACCTGCTTTTGTCTTGCTCTAGACAATGCTTTAGTTCTTCTTTAGTCCTACGTTAAACCTGCTTTAGTCTTGCTCTAGACAATGCTTTAGTTCTTCTTTAGTCCTACGTTAAACCTGATTTAGTCCTGCTATAGTCAAGGCTTTAGTCCTGCCCTGGTCCTACTTTAGTCCTTTTTAAGTTCTACTTTAGTCGTGGTTCAGACCTGGTTGTTGTGAGGCATCCCGTAGAGTGCTTCCACCAGGTCGGCCGCTCTCTTCAGAAGCACCTCCTGAAAAACAAAAACAACAACAACGTGACGTTTTTCACTTAAAGATGAATAAGAAAAGCATGTTGTATACTCGACCACCACACATTTGTTCATGACTTCTATAACTCACCTATAGTTTTAGGGACATTAAAATGAACTTTAGTCCAGAAAATACAATGAGAAAGTAATTTGAGAGGACATGCACAATCCACGAGACACAGCTTTTGCGCAAAATACTAATACTACTACTACTAATAATAATAATGATTATAATCCAACGTTTTTTATAGTGCTTGTTGGAAACGCAAAGATTTTTCACATGGCTTTGTTCATTCACTCCATACACAGTGGTGATTAACTAACTAACTGAAGCCACAGCTGCCCTGGGGCACACAGACAAAGCCAGGCAGCCAGAATGTGCCATCGGCCCCTCCAACCACCACCAAACCATTCACATTCACACATCAGACTCATTGTAGGCAATGTTGGTGAAGTGTCTTGCCTAATCACACAACAAAAGTTTGGCACTTTACAGCCGCAGCCGACCCACTGTGGCACCTGGTGTTCCCATAGGTCTCCCATCACAGTACTGACCAAGCCCTGCCATGCTTAACTTCAGAGTTCTGAGGAGATCTGGCAGTAAATATTCCAAGATCATATTTGAGGAGAAAAAGTGACAAAACTGCATATATTAGTTCTATACATTAATAAAAAGTGATATAGTCAATTCAATATTACACAACTGTCCTAGAAAAAAGACAAAATCTGCTTGTTCATTGCTTCTTCTTGTTTGTATTTGAGATGATGATAAATGTTAGTCAATTATTTAACATCCATGGGACAGGTCCACAGAACAGGCCACAGAAGCAGACAGAGAGCGCTTCTGTCCCAGGTGCGGTGTGCAGATGTGAGCAGTCCCAGAGGAGCAGACTACGAGGACCTCTGCTGCTCTCCCCGGGGAATTACACCCACGTGCTCCAATGTTATGGCTTCTTATTTACAGTGAACACTTCCCAGGAAATAAATGTATGTGGCCATAAGTGTGTAAACAATCGTGACATGTCGTGGAGTTCATGGATTTAACATGTATTTCTTTTGCATTACAACTTGAGATAATTCTTTTCTTTCTTCATACATATTTTCTATTCAAACATTTCTGATTCTGATTTAAGTTGTCATTGTCAATGCACAGTAAGAAATAAACGATAACAGCCATGTTTCCGACAAATTTACTTACAAAAACGTCTTATTTTAATCAGCCCATGTGGTGAATTAAAACATATCAGCTCTCATTGGCATGTGTTTTGTCAGCATCATTTGTGTTCATTATTAGGCCATTTAAACATGTTATTTACAATATTATTTCATTTCTCATTTCATGTTTAAAATCTGAATCCATTTCCAAAGTACAAAAGATACTACAAGCTAATGTGAAATGCTTAGAGAGAACTGTGGGTAAAACAGCAGCACTCAAACAAGATGAATTAAAAACCAGATAAATAGCCATTTTTTCATTCAGAGAAAAGCACAAACAGCTCTGACATCACCTCATGGAGTCAGAATCTGTCTTAGTGTAACAAATTTGAAAACAGAGCAGTTAGCAGAAGGAGCGGGGGGTGGGGGTGTTTGTGCAGATTTGTGACAGAAGTGACTGATATTAGTGTGTCTTTAGTGTAGCTGGAGTTACAAGTCCAGGTCTGTCTGTGACGAGGAACAATGTCATCACATGGGTCAAAACTCAAAAGACACATTTATTGATGTACAAGCGAAACGATCCACCAGCTGAACAAGATATGAAATGTATAGGAAAATAATTAGATCTTACTCAATCTGGAAGTGGATCATTTCATTTGTACAGATAGTAGTAAGAAACAATCAAGAAGATGTGTTTCTTTATGTAAGTGATTCATCCAACTTCTGGTCCGTACGGGGAATTGTATGTTGCCAGGTTGTGGAAGAAGCATCTCCCTCTCCACACACACAGGCTCCAGCTCATCCGGGAGAATTCTTTCCGGCCCTGCTGAGAGACATGGGGCTGTTCATCAATCCCAGTGCTCATGTGAGGGTTTATGGTAAACTAGTGTGTTGTATTTGAGTGGTTTAATGTTGTCTTCATCTCTTCTCTCTCTTGTAAAGAGGTGCTCATCAGTTTCAACACAGGTCACCCTTGATCCTTCATGGTCCACAGTCCCTCCATTGTGTCCTGGGTCTTCCCCGGAGCCTCCTACTGGTGCATGCCCGGAACACCTCCCCAGGGATATGTTCAGGAGGCATCCCGAACATATGTCTCCTCTCCAGCTCAGCCGGCTTTTGTCATATGGAGGAGTGGCGGCTCTCCTTTGAGCTCCTCACCTCCTGACTCTGGCTGACTCTGCACACGGTGGAGGTCTGTGGCCACGGTCTGTGACTCTCACCAGCTGCTGTGGTCTCAGCTGATAGTCCTGTAGTGCACCTGAGAGCATGTGTTGTCAGAGATTGAATAATCAAAATGCTTCTAGTGGAATATGGAGGGTTGAGGAATACTCAGGAGGAGGACTGAGGAGCAGGGCTCACTCTCCGTCTGAAAATCACTAATCACTAATCCCTTCCTGGTCCTGTGTCATTCCATTAAGAACTTTTTTGTCGTCAACACAACATAAGCTCACACTAACACGCTGTAATGACGCTGATGTGAAAGAAGAGCTGCACAAATGTGAAAAGTCTGATCATAAACATCAAACATGCAGAGATCAATACACTGTGGGCGTATATCAGCTGTTTGCGGGCACTGCCATGAAAGCAGGTGCACCTTATTTTTTATTGTACCATACGTTGTACATTTTCCTAGTGCATTGCAATTGTAACTAGAAATTGTAACTGACTGCATATCATACAAAAAGATCGAAAACCTTCAAAACATGAAAAAATTGCACCCATTTTAAACTATTACACCCTTATCACACCATTACAGCCCTATTACACTACGCAGACAATACGAGAAAGGAAGAGGTAAGAAATAAAGATAAGAAAAAGTACAACATGAAATACAGATATTTCAAATACTATAAACGTATACTATAACACCAAAAGTAATAGCCCTCGAGAGACAAGAAACGGAGCTGAAACGCCCCAACATGTGTCAGAAGAAGACGACAGAAGAGGGAATAAAAACTACAAGACCAAACAGTGAATGCATAAGTTTATCAATCACTCAATAATTAACTTAATGTGACTCGGGTGAGTTCGGGTGAGTTCGGGTGAGTTCTGGCGTTGTGACTGGAATGACTTTTTAGACCACTAAGAACACTTCATATTAGGTCTAGTTGTAGCTCCATAAGCTCCCAGTTCACCAGTGAGCAGTAAAGGCGTGTTGTATGAATATTTGATTTTACCCCATGTCTCAGCGCTTGCATGCGAAGGCCAAGATCTGTCTCACCTCTGACGCTAAGCAAAGTAGGGTCTGGTTAATGCAGTGATGGGAGACCTCTAGAATCACCAGGGCGGCTGCAGTTGTAAAGTGCCAAACTGTCATTGTGTCCTTTGGCAAAACACTTCACCCACATTGCCTGGAATGAGTCTGGTGTGTGTGTAAATGGTTGGTGTTGGTGGGAGAGACTACTGGGCTTGCTTCTGTCAGTGTGCCCCAGGGCAGCTGTGGCTACACTAGTGGTTTATTGCCAATGTATTTGAAGTGAAAGAATAATGACATGTGATGCATCCAAAATTATTATTATTATTATTGTTGTTATTATTGTTATTATTGGTTGCCACCCCAAAAGTGCCAGTTGTGAGCAGACAGGTGGCGCTGCAGAGTTGTGGTCCCTGTGTCCTGATGAAGACATTGGGCCTCCTCCTCCTCTCCTCTCTCTCCACACACTCCTCATTCATCTTGATTTTCTCTGAAGCACATTAGCGGTGGACATGTGCGCCCGTCTCCCGTTTACGCCGCCGTTTACGCGCCTGTCTCCTCCGCTAACGTCCCGTCCCGCGCGCCCCTGCTTAATATATGGATTTATTCAAAGAAAAGCAGGCACGGCTCCGCGGCGGACAAATTGATTCGTTGTCGCTGTCACGCTTGGCTCCGCCCGCAAAGACTTTGATTCACTTGTGCACATGCTTCCTGTCTGCTCTGCTGGGCCCACGTCTTGATTCCCTCCGTGGAAAAAAAAACACAAAACCATGTGTGTGTTTTACATATGGTTTAGTCGCAAAAATATACGGACAGGTGCATTCCAATTGTAACACAAGGTTTGAGCACATTGTCGTCAACTAAAGCTATGTAGTCACTAAAGCTGAAACTAAAGCTGAAACTAAAGCTGAAACTAAAGCTAAGTACTCGCTAAAACTTAAGCTAAAGCTAAAATTAAAGCTAAGTACTCGCTAAAACTAATGCTAAAGCTAAAGCTAACTTACTGCATTTTTTTTGTATGAAAGCTGAGGTACCAGCTGTAACTTTCACGCCACTATTTGTTTTACTGTAATAAGTAAGTAAATAAAAATGTATTTAACTCAAGCTCCTTTCTCTTTAAACAGGTTGGTTCTATCACAAGTTCCACATACATATATTATTGTCCTCTCTCACATTGTTATTAAAACTTTCTGTTTACAAATGTTGATCAACAGAGAAGACCTGTCTTACTGATCTTACTTCATCCCAAAGCACCAAATTGTGGCTGACATGGCTCTTTCTAACCATGTGTTTAGGTATTTAAAGGATAACAGTTTTATAATAAGATAGACAGTAGTGGTCAAGGAAAATATCGATTCTGTTCAGTATCGCGATATTTTGCGCATGCAATGTAATTGAAGAGGAAAGTATTGTGATATTTAACTAAATAATTATCTGTTTCACTTTTGTGATTTCTCTGACTTTATTCTGATAATTTAGGGTGTATTCAGACCTGAAAAGTCCTTTGCTCCGCTTGCTTGATCCGAATCAAAAGCGGACCAAACTTTTTTCTTTTGCTCCGGTTTGTATTCAGACTGTCCTTTTTGCAAGTGAACTTTTTTATATAAACATATTGACACGTGTGACGATCGGCGCTCCTATTGGACAGCGAGAGCTCACGGAGGATAGATGCGGAACCGGAGGAAAACATTGAGGGCTCGTATGTGCAGCATGTCTGCTCTGCCTATGTTTGCTCTTTTTAGACCAAAACCACCTTCAACATCAACAGCAGCTCATATGACACAGGCCAAACACGTTGTTTTAAATATTGGAACAGCGTCGGAGAATGCGTGAGGAGAAAGCCGAAGGAGACTGTCTGTGCGCTCCGTGCCCTGTCCCACACATGGATCTATTATAATAACCCTGTTCCACAACTTACTGACAGCAGCATGTGGATAAACCATGGATCTATAATAACCACGGGACAAACAGACGCTGAGGATCAGGTAGGAACCAAAGAACACAATTCACTACATGATGCGGAATATTGCTCTTTGAGACGTGAGTCAAACAGTGTCAGGCTTTTAAGAATGCAAATGGTTTGAAGATGCTGCCATTGACATCCCTGTATACTGTGAACAGTTGTAACTCCATAAGCCTGTTGCACAGCGTCTCCTCATTGCTCCAGGTCTGCACACGGCTCAGTGTTGTTGTGTAGCGTTAGCAGCATAGTTAGCAGCATAGTTAGCTGCATAGTTAGCCGCTGCGTGGCTAATTCCTCAGTTTCTGTCTGCGGCTTGTTAAGCCCAAAAAATGCGCACGTATCTTGGAGTTGTGTCGGATTGACACCGGATGTATTCAGACCTGATTCGAGTTGGACCAGAATTCGTTTGGAAGCGGACCGAGACCACCTCAAAAAGTGGGTCTCGGTTCGGTTCTTTGGTCCGGACCAGGATTCGTTTGTGTGTATTCAGACCTGCATAAAAGATTCGGATCAGAGTTCCAAACGAATCCTGGTTCGTTTAAAGTGGAGCAAATGTGCAGGTCTGAATACACCCTTAGATCGCAACATAAACCTCTGTTTAGACATAATACATGTGATATTTGAGATGAGCAGTTTTATTTTACTCAATCTTTGTAATGCTTTGAATAATATGAGAATATATAAAAGATACTATCAAATCAGAGTCGTTTATTTCTTTGGCCATTATGACACATTAGGTCTGAGGTTACATGTTTTAAAGATTGTATACATTTGACAATAACAAAAAAATATACAATCTGGAATTGGCAAAAATCATCAAATCTTTGCCCATTCCCAGCCCTGAATAGCCCTGTAGTGGTTTGATTTGTTCACAACATTTCATTTTTACAAGACTCGCTTTGTTGGAGAAGCACAATATCATATTTTTGAAAAACTAGAGTTTGTTTCCCCAGCTCTAAAGAAGACATATCGTACTTTGTCAGCAACACGGCTCCAAAGGCTCAACAGATAGTGACAGCCGGTGTTAGCCAACAGCAATTGTCTTTCACTTGAGCTAAAATGTCAGTGGGATGCTGCCAAATCCTCCATTAAAAGCACATTCATATATTCTATACTCGTGTAGAACATGGGCAAAAGCTGTGACGTGGATCTTTCATGCTGTGGGACCCAGGGATGGCTCACTAACCTTGGGTAACCTCTCGGGGTCCCCTGGGTGGCGGGGGATGACCTTCTGTAGCCTCTGGAAGCCGTAGTCTATGGTGGGTTCATTCAGAGCTGGACACAGAGAAATACAGGTGACGGTCAGATCAGATGGAAGCATAACCATGGACAACACCAAACATTTACATTCAATGTAAATGTTTGTGACACAGAGAACAGTCATTGCCAACATTTTCCTGAAGATTTTAACAAGATCTGAGGATTTACAGTCTGAGTCCCTGATCTCAGTCCTGGATCTACAGCCTCAGTCCTGGATCTAAAGCCTCAGTCCTGGATCTACAGCCTCAGTCCTGGATCTAAAGCCTCAGTCCTGGATCTACAGCCTCAGTCCTGGATCTAAAGCCTCAGTCCTGGATCTACAGCCTCAGTCCTGGATCTACAGCCTCAGTCCTGGATCTAAAGCCTCAGTCCTGGATCTACAGCCTCAGTCCTGGATCTTAAGCCTCAGTCCTGGATCTAAAGCCTCAGTCCTGGATCTACAGCCTCAGTCCTGGGTCTACAGCCTCAGTCCTGGATCTTAAGCCTCAGTCCTGAATCTACAGCCTCAGTCCTGGATCTACATCCTTAATCCTGGTTCTACAGCAACATATAGTCCATAAATAAACATATAGTTGGTAAAGGACTCCTGAATCCCTCTCTTAATATGGGCCTCCCAGAGCTTTCTCTTTTTTTCATTGGGTTTTTTAGTCATGGCTGATGTAGGGGAGTCTGGACATTGATGATCCAGGACTTTTATGCTTTTTTTATGCACATTTTGCAAATGCATTCACATTTATGGACATTATCTCGTTTGCGAAGGACCCTTCTATATGTTTGTCCATCCATCCATCCATTTTCTACCCCTTTATCCATTTCTGGGTTGGGGGGGTGGCAGTCAGAGCTGTACCCAAGTCGCATAGCACCAGCCCCTCACTGATCCTCCAGCAGGTGGTGAGTCCTCAGGAGGATGGCTGCTCTGTCTGTGACATCACAGCCTTGATTTTTCAGCGAGCGCTTTAGGCATAGTGGGGTTCAGTGTCTTGCCCAAGGACACAATGAATTTGATCTACTGTTGGTGAATTTGTCACCCTTAGTGTCTCCCCTTCTACCACCCAATGCCTAGGAAAGATCAAAGCCAGGACAAAGAGGACGTTTGGAGAGTTGGATCCTGGGGAAAGTGGTTATTGTCCTGCATCCTACATATGTCATGGCCAAAATGCAGCGTTTAGTTCAACCAAAAAGATACCCGCCAACTGTGCAGCCACAAAGTCAAATTAAACTGACTGATGCGTCAAGCTTCATCTCCACTGAGTTTGTGTTAGTTGTGGACAAGTTTGACCCAGAAGAGTTGCATATCGAGCACCCAGACTGCGAAGTATACAGGCCTCAGAGATTGCAGTATATTGAACACAAATATAACACAGTACACAGATGGAGAAGTATGCTGTCTGTTCAGTGGTGGGGTCAATGGGAATGTGGTTTGAAAAAGTAGTTCATAGAAAAATGTTGATTTATTGATAGATGCCAGGGTCAAAAGCAGCTTCCTGGCTTCCGTTCTGGAAGTTCCTGGAGCTGTAGTGAACTTTGCGGCATAAGACTTGAGTCCTGCAGTCCTTGGTCCACCTACTTCACTGCTTTTTCCATGTTTGACCAAATACTGAACGGAAGAGACCCCCACTGTCAGCCTCATTACTTTTCCATCTTAACATAGAGGCTGCAATATTGTTTTTGTACCGATGACATTGATGTAACTGTCTAACGGGCGACCAATCCATTTGTCATACGGACAAGTTTCCTCGCTCCCCATCCAGTCCTGGTTCACGCAGTCCTGGTTCCGGTCCAGTCCAGATGAGTTGTCGTGAATGCCTGCTGAGATACTTTGGCCTTTGTGCACTTTTCCATTGACTCTGGAACGCTTCCAATCTCCAAACCTCTGTAGATTTGTTTCATATAGTATTTCCTCACACAAGCTAACCCCCTCCCCCTCCCTCTCCCTCTCTTCCCTCCCCCTCTCCATCTCTTCTCTCCCCCTCTCCATCTCTTCTCCCTCCCTCGAGAACTATGAAAAGTAATTCTCTCCCATGCACTCGGAATTCTCACCTTTTCCATTTGACAATCTGAACAAAAACACAATACATAGACAGAGCTGCTGACAACTAAACATCTACCTAAGAACGTTTTTAGCATTTTTACAGTCGAATTATGTTCATTACTATTTCATACTTACACTTAACACATTGTGAATGGTTTGTATTGGGGGTTGTAAGTCCCACTGACACCAGTAGATGGTGGTGTTCCTTTGATTGGACTTTTATACACACAACGTCTCTTTTTGAAGCAAATCACAACATTATCAGAGACCTCTGGCATTAATACGTCCCCCCCTCCCTTCTGTCTAAAATCTGCAATCTTCAAACTGGTTAGACTATGCTGAATCCTAGACTATGATATCATGGACAGAGCTGTTTGACAACTGTGTGTCTTCAATAACCTCGTGCAAGCAAGATGTCTATTAAAATAACAGAATGCAGTTTTGCACTTCTACCACTAGATGGAAGTGTTTAGCTGATCCTGACCATTTCTAAATACTTGACATATTAGATAGTCACAAAGCAAATCATTACATTCAATATTTAGCAAATTATTTTCAAAATGTTTTTCCAGTTTGACCATATGTATAATTCGATGTATTGTTTTAGCACAGAATCGTTCTTTTTAATTGTTAATCAGGTCGTCGTGTCAGTCCATAATCTGTCAACACTTCGGACAAGAATGCAAGAAGAACTCAACCTTCTGACCACTGGAGAAAAGCAGAGTTGTTTACTGCAAATGTGGAGCAACAGAGTTCTTCTGGGTTAGTTTGTACTTTATTGTCCCCATGGGGACATTTGTTCTCTGCATTTGTCCATCTTCTTTGCCACGAGGGCTTCAGGAGCAGTGGTCGCCGTAATATCTCCAGATGTTGATGCTCGGCTTGGTCATGACTACTGGAGCTGGAAGATTTTTGCCAATTGTACACGATTTTAGTGGCAGGGGAAACCAGAGCACCCGGAGGAAACCGCAAGGCCCTGTTCCGAACGGGATTCAAACCAAGGACCTTCTTGCTAGGACGCGAGAATGCTAACCACACAGCCATTGTGCTGCCCCATGCAGTCTATGTCTTTTGGATAAATTCTGCCCTGTTCACACTGAGAGACACACAAAATAAATAGATTGTATTCTTCGCAGACGCTGAACACACTTTGTCGGTTCGTCCATTAAAGACAAGTGTCCAGTCTGATATTCTGAGATCTACAAGCACTACACAGGGAATTTTTTACTAATTTAAAAAAAATTCTAAAATATGTATAATTGTACTTACTGGTTGTGATCGATGGTACCCTGCTCTCTCTAGTCTAACTCTGCTCTCTCTCTATGATCTCACTCTGCTCTATCTCTGGTCTCACTCTGGTCTCACTCTGCTCTCTCTCTGGTCTCTCTCTGGCCTCTCTTTGGTCCCTCTCTGGCCTCTCTTTGGTCCCTCTCTGGCCTCTCTTTGGTCCCTCTCTGGCTTCTCTCGGGTCTCTCTCTTGTCTCACTCTGCTCTCTCTAGTCTCACTCTGCTTTCCCTCTGGTATCTCTCTGGTCTCACTCTGGTCTCCCTCTGGTCTCTCTTTGGCCACTCTTTGGTCTCTCTCTGGTCTCTCTCTGGTCTCTCTCTGGTCTCTCTCTGGTCCGTCTCTGGTCTCTCTTTGGTCCCTCTCTGGTCCCTCTCTGGCTTCTCTCTAGTCTCTCTCTGGTCTCTCTCTGGTCTCTTTCTGGTCTCTTTCTGGTCTCACTTTGGCCACTCTTTGGCCTCTCTCTGGTCTCTCTCTGGTCTTTCTCTGGCCTCTCCTTGGTCCCTCTCTGGCTTCTCTCAGTTCTCTCTCTTGTCTCACTCTGCTCTCTCTAGTCTCACTCTGCTTTCCCTCTGGTATCTCTCTGGTCTCTCTCTGGTATCTCTCTGGTCTCTCTCTGGTGTCTCTCTGCTCTCCCTCTGGTCTCTCTTTGGCCTCTCTCTGGTCTCTCTCTGGTCTCTCTCTGGTCTCTCTCTGGTCTCTCTCTGGTCCCTCTCTGGTCCCTCTCTGGTCTCTCTTTGGTCCCTCTCTGGTCCCTCTCTGGCTTCTCTCTAGTCTCTCTCTGATCTCTCTCTGGTCTCTCTCTGGTCTCACTTTGGCCACTCTTTGGCCTCTCTCTGGTTGCTCTCTGGTCTCTCTCTGGTCTCTCTCTGGTCTCTCTCTGGTCTCTCTCTGGTCTCTCTCTGGTCTCTCTCTGGCCTCATGATTTTTGAGGAATTCAACAGTAAGAATGTATGTTTATTTAGTGAATCATTAAAGTATCATATAAACAAGCAAGAAGGTCCTGGGTTCAAATCCCGGTTGGAACAGATTTTAAAAAACGTTTGACCTCTGAACCTTGTGAAGTGCTTCGGGTGACCTTGGTCTGTAAAATGAGCTGTATAAATAAATATTACTTAGTTTTTTTGTGTGACATTTTATATAATATTTTTGAAACTGAAGCAAGTCGTGAGTAGCTCTGAAACAGTTATATTGTGCTTTTCAAAGGCTATTTTTCTTGCTTTTTTACTATTATTAGCAACTTTTGGAATGATTTATTTATTTGTCTGTATTTATTTATCTAGTTTATTACACCAAAACTATATATTTTCTATCTTTATTATGCTAAAGTTAGAGATTTGTTTTTATTTTAGTATACAGTTATTGTTCACTTATCTTTTGCTGTGTGCTCATTATTCCAGTATTCTCTAACTGCTGATGCAACACTGAAATTTCCCCACCGAGACAAAAAAAGGATCTCTGCTGCTGGACCCCTGAATTACTCTTATGGAGGATCAATAAAATATCTATCTATCGATCCATCTATCTCTCTATCAAGCTATCCATCTATCGATCCATCTATCTCTCCATCTATCCATCCATCTATCCATCCATCTATCCATCCATCCATCCATCTATCCATCCATCTATCCATCCATCCATCCATCTATCCATCCATCTATCCATCCATCTATCCATCCATCCATCCATCTATCCATC